TTTTTTTTTTTTTTTTGAGACGGGGTCTTGTTCTGTGGCCCAGGCTGGAGTGCAGTGGCGCGATCTCGGCTCACTGCAAGCTCCGCCTCCGGGGTTCACACCATTCTCCTGCCTCAGCCTCCCGAGTAGCTGGGACTACAGGCACCCACCACCACTTCTGGCTAATTTTTGTATTTTTAGCAGAGGCAGGGTTTCACAGTGTTAGCAAGGTGGTCTTGATCTCCTGACCTCGTGATCCGCCTGCCTCAGCCTTCCAAAGTGCTGGGATTACAGGGGTGAGCCACCGCGCCCGGCCTTAATTCTTAATGGATAAAGGAATGATAATTACCCAGCTGTAGCATGGACTGCCTGTTAGTACGGCCTCCTAAACTACTCTGTATTCTCAGGAGAAAGAAATGTTTGTAACCTTATATTCTCTATTAGAAGAAACTGGACAGTGGCAGAGAAGAGAGGGTGTGTCTGTGTGATCAGGCCATAAAGTTAATCTTAAAAATAAACCTGAAAATAAGTTCAAAGATTCTAGGTATGAGCGCCTTTCGTGTAGTAGGGCTGGTATGAGGCAGTAAATGATTTTAAAGAAAGAATGTAGAATTTAAAGTCAGACCTGGTTCACACTCAGTCAGCTGCTAATTCTGCATTCTTCCCTTTTCTTTTAGCTTCAGTTTCCTCACACTTAGAATGAAAACAAACAATAAGAGGAAACCAGTTTGTTATATGTTCTCACATCTGACTTTGTAAAACAGTTTGAAAACGTTAGCGTGGTCAGCTCCAGGATCATCCCATGCAGGCATTGAGTGTTACATCTTTCCCTTCTTTGTAGTTTATTTTGCCCAGATGGATCTGCATTCATTTGTACCATCTATCATAATATTGTAGAATTCACTAATTCTATTATAGAATTCACATTATGTATTATAACATTATGGAATTCACTAATAATATTGTAGATGTCACTAATAATTCATAAAAGGAATAAATTCATTTGTCATCTTATCAAAAAAACTAAACTAAAATAAAATTTAAAAAGGCCGGGCACAGTAGCTCATGCCTGTGATCCTAGCACGTTGGGAGGCCGAGGAGGGCAGATCAACTGAGGTCAGGAGTTCGAGACCAGCCTGGCTAATATAGTGAAACCCCGTCTCTACTAAAAATACAAAAAATTAGCCGAGTGTGGTGACAGGTGCCTGTAGTCCCAGCTACTCGGGAGGCTGAGGCAGGAGAATAACTTGAACCTGGGAGGCGGAGGTTGCAGTGAGCTGGGATTGCGCCACTGCACTCCAGCCTGGGCGACAGAGTGAAACACCATCTCAAAAAAAAAAAAAAAAAAAGAAAGAAAGAGAGAAAGGAAGGAAGGAGAGGAAGGGAAAGAAAGAAAAGAAAAGAAAGAGAAAGAAAGAAAGAGGCACTTGGATGAAAGTACTGTTTCTTACCTCACATGGTTATAGGGTGAAACGGAGAGGACAGGGCTGAACAAAAATCAGTGTGGGGGCTTCGAGTAGTAAATAACTGTACCAGGGCTTAGGCCCAGTTAGACACATAAAAATCTGCAAGGGAGAATTTTGCCTAACTTGAATCACCAAAGGACAACTGTAAGTCAGCATTTCAGGCTCAGAATATTACCTGCACACCACTTGGTTTGAGAACTTATGGAGTCTAAGAGATGGCAAGTCATGAGACTCTAGAAGCTTAGTTTTCTCAAAGTGTGTCAGAGGTCACCTGCTTTGGAATCACTGTGAACTCCTCATTAAAAAGTAAAGTTCTGGACTCCTCCCCAGAATTTCTGCACAGGGAGACAGGAACTTTGCCTCTTTTGCAAGGCTCCTGGGACAGCAGGGAGTTGGGGGGTAAATTTTTATGCACAGTCAAGTTTGAAATCCACTGGTCTGTACTTCCAGTCAAGCTCATGCAAAAATTGGCCCCAAAATATGTTTCCATTCTTATCTCCCATCAGCTCTCCTACACATTCTATTTACAACACTTACCCAAGGTGAGGACTCTTCTCCTGGACATTGGTTATCTGAGGTTTCTCTGTCTATGCCATTGGTTGCCTGCCTTCTGCCTTTTCCCATCTACATCCTTTAACAATCGTTATCAACCAACCTTAAAATGCTTTCCTGGAGCTTAACCAACTAGCTGTAACCTTTTCTGAACATGCAAGGTTTTCATTTCCACATCTCTCGTAGAATTGATTCTCACCACAACTGGTATTATAAAGTCACTGGCATCCTTGACACAGTCCTCTACTGATAGGAACCCCTTGAAGACTGTGTGGGGTAGGGGGAGGTCACCTTTAATTCATCTTTGTCTTTTCTGCAGTGTTTATCATAATAGGTGAACCTATTGCTGCTCCGATAGTGAGGGGGACTTGAGGGGACCTGTGTCACTCTAGCACTGTGTCTCCCCACAGTCATTGACTCACATACCCTTTGCTTGCCCCTTGGTGCACCTAGGACCTGAGACTATGTATATATAAGAAGGAAGGAGGAGAACTTGGCTCTGAGAGACTATGAACAGAGTCATTGCTGAAATGTAAATGTCAAAGATTGAAGGGAAGGATGTGAGAGTGAAGCCAGCTGTCTAGCTTCCGGCCGTAGAATGCTCATAAGAGCTTCTGCACTCAAGGTCAAACACACAGACTCGCCCACGAAAATTGCCAAAGAGTTTGAGTGGAAGTTCTCTGTTATTCCCATGACTTTGAATGGGACACGGTAATTCCTTCCCACAGCCAGGGCTTACTTAAAATAAGGAAATGAATAAATAAAGTCTACTGCCTGGATCTTTTTTTTGCTTTTGTCCCTGCAGAGTAAGGGGATGCCAGCCAAGGCTGACATCATCATTATAGCAAGACAGGTGCTTTTTTTGAATACTTCACAGTGACAAGGGCCTGGTATTATGTAGGTCTTCAAAGAGTATATATATATTTATATTTTTTAAAATTCAGTCTCCTACATTTATACTATGAGGAAATAAGATGACAAGAGCAAGGAATGCCTTGCTTGGAATGTTGCAATTGGATGGCTGCACTGAGGACTATTTAAGCAACCTTAAAATCACAAACACACATCTGTGATGACTTTTTAATTATATCTGTCATTTTGGAAAAGATATTAAACATCTTCCTCAGAAGTTACTTTTACGTTACACATTCTTTAATAGTATTAAAAGATATTTGATGCAATTTATATTAATAAAGCTCGTGAGATGTGTTAGTAAAAATAAAATTGAACCTTCTAAAATATATTCCTTTAAAAATGAATGTCTATAATTTTATGCTAGTTTAAGCCAATAATCTAAATAAATCCTGTTTATTTAGCATAACACATGTACACATATTTTCTCCACAAAATGGAACGCGCTAAATGTGTTGGGGCCTCAGGAAAGAACTAGTGGAAGGGGGTATAGGAGGATTTGGGGGGAAAAGGAGGAATCCAACAAGAAAGTCTTCAGGGAGGAAGAGACCTGTCCCAATGTGTCACACGATAGATCTTACCTTCTCCTAGTGCCACGTATTCATTCATTTTTCACCCCCAATAGACAAGTGGAGACTGATACTATTCCCTTTTACAATTTAACAAAATCAAAGCTTAGAAAACCAGGGGGTTTGGGAAATAAGGAATTTGTGTAGGATTAAAATAGAACTTTGAGCTCCTGGACTCTGAATGTTAGCTTCTACCTTGCTCTTAAATAAATTTATGCCAACAGATGTCCTGTCATCAGACAGGACTTTCTTTTTTTTCTTTTTAAAGTCAGCAAGTCTTATTGTTACATCTCTCTGGTCTGCCCAGTTTGGTTACACCTGTTTTGAGATTTCTTTCCTATACCCTTCCATCTGAAGGTAAGCACTTCCTACCGTACTTCCAGAGCTTTCACCTATGTCTTGGTTTAATCTTTGCCTTTGTTTTCACCTTTTACCATTTCTGCTTTATACTGGTAGATAATGTCACCCCCAAATACATAGACTATGAGCTCCTTAGGAGCAAGCTCATTTTTTTTTTCCTGTTGTTCTTTGTGTCTTTTTTTCCCTATCTACCTCCAAATCTTACTCCACATTTCTGAAAATAGCACCCAAAGCAATACCTCTCACTTTGGGGAGTATTTAGTACATTTTTTTAAAAATGAATATATTATACAGCCTGGACCACCATAACAAAAATACATGGACTGAGCACCTTAAATAACAGAGATTTCTTTTCTTATAGATTGAGGCTGGAAGTGCGAGATCAGGGTGTTAGCACAGTGGGGTTCTGCTGAGGACTGTCTTCCTGCCTTGCAGATAGCCACATTCTCACTGTGTCCTTACATGGTGTGTGTGGGGAGGGAGCAAGCCCGCTAAGTGTCTTTTCTTATAAGGTCACTAGTACCACCATGAGGGCCCCATCCTTATGACCTCATCTAAGCTTAATTCTCAAGGCCCCATCTACACATACTATCACTTTGGGATTAAGGCTTCAACATATAAATTTATAAAGAGCGTCAGTTTAGTCCATAGCAATAAATTAGGCCTTTTGGCTATAGATCTGTCAATGTATAATTGGCACTGATTGATGGAATGCAGATCAGAATAACCTATGCTTCTAGGTATATAGAAACTACATGCTTAGTTTTTGTTTTTTGTTTTTTGTTTTTGTTTTTGAGACAGAGTCTCGCTGTGTCGCCCAGGCTGAAGTGTAGTGGTGCAATCTCGGCTCACTGCAGCCCCCACCTCCTAGGTTCAAGCGATTCTCCTGCCTCAGCCTCCTCAGTAGCTGGGATTACAGGCATGCACCACCCGCCCAGCTAATTTTTGTGTTTTCAGTATAGATGGGGTTTCACCATGTTGGCCTGGATGGTCTGGATCTCCTGACCTCATGATCGGCCTGCCTCAGCCTCCCAAAGTGCTGGGATTACAGATGTGAGGCACCATGCCCAGCCCATGTTTAGTTATATAACAAAGGTTTATTGAGCGCTGTGTTGGCTTTAAACAATTTTGCTAGACATTCAGTAGGGCCCTATTACTGTTGAAGACATTGTACAACTCAGGTGCATTTTCCTTTAAGGATACATTTAACCTGCTAGATGTCGTCTCATTTTTAAGACCAGAGAAAAAGAGAGGAAGACTTGTTTTTTTAGAGGGTTATTATACATTCCTATTAGATCATTAGGAAATTGGCACAAGTGGCAGGAAGCCAAACTGGCCTGAGTCTGGCTGGGCAGTGTCTGCAGGTTACTCCAGCAAAGCTGCTGAAATAACGATATGTTCTCCCATAAAGTGCTTTTTGTCAAAGTCTCTTCTGGAATTAACTCCTCATGCACAGATCGATAAACCCCACCAACTTGCCAATGTAATTAAGCAGTGACAGGTTAAGCATTACCGTTAATTAAGTTCAAAGTAAAAGAAAAGGAAGAAGATTGTTTTTGTGAAATTGGGCTGTCAGATTTTTCTCGAGGGTGTTTCTGAGTTCCTATAAAGGGGGATTTAGGAAAGGGAGGAGATGACTGTCTCCACTTCCTTGGGAAAAGTGAGTGTTTAAACACATGTCCCTTGAATATTTTTAACTGAAAAGTGAATTCTTTGCCAGTGGTAAGAGACATTGAATGAGCACCTTCTGTGTGCAAAGGACTGTGCTCAGTGTTATGGGGGATACAATGCAGTGTGAGACTAGTTCATGCTCTCGTGGAGCCCTGAGGTGAATGAGAAGTGTCAGACATATGAACAAATATAACACAAGGCAAAGTAATTCAACTTATCTGTGAGAGATTCGGGCAATTGTGAGAGCTCAGAGGAAAGGCCGTGCCGCATCCTGCGGTGGCCTGAGGAGGGGATCGGCATCGAGAAGGACCTCCCAGAGGATACAGCATTTGAGCAAAGCCTTGAAAGTAGAGTAGGAATGGATAAGGGGGAAAGAATGAAAGAGAACAGTTCCAATCTCTAAACATTTTTTTATGTTGAATTCTAGTATAGCTGCTAGGATCAAACGAAAAGAAATCAGCCTCTGGTTCAGTAAGGATTTGTTGAGCATTCATTATATGTGCATTATTCTGCAGAAAATTTGGGGTTGGGAGAGGTAAAAAATACCTTCAAGATAACAGGCTTTTTTCCAAAAGTATCAAATAGTCTTAGACTCGTCATCTTCCTCTGATGGCATCTTAATGGAATTCAATATAAAGGCCAAAATTCCTTTGTTTTGAAGCTACAAGAAAACACAGCCAATGGAAAAGCCACGTTAGTGCTGCCTCTCCTATTCTGATAAGGTGGATCCTTAAAAGCTATGAAAGAAGCACTAAGTACTGCTGGCCAGTTTGAGTTCATTTGACTGGTAGAATTGAGTGGAAGTCAATTCTCGTGCCATTTAAACTGGAAGAAACTGAAGATTCTCCAACCCAAGCTCCTCTTTTTGCAGATGAGTCAACTGGAACCCTGTAAGACGGTAGTTTTCTAGATTAAAAAGGAGCCATGTGAATTTCCTAAATCATATAACAATCAGTTTATTATTTGATATTTATGGTACATTCACATGGGACAGAATGATCAGACATTTTCAGGAAAGAATAACAACTCCCAATTCGCTGAGTTACCATTGGATGGTATTAAGCAACTTCACTTAATTATGTACCTGCTTTCCAGCTATGTTAATTACACATCCTTTAGCATTTACCACCTGTACCAATCATTTAGCATAATAATACCTTATACTTAAATGCGTGTACCCAGAATACTTTTATAGTTGTTTTCCATTTGATGTTCACAATAATCCTACAAGGCAAGTGTTATTTCTAGATTAGATATGAGAGAACTGAGGCCCAGAGAAGGTAGCCCATATAGCCAAGAAACTAAAACAGGGTTCTGACATCCATTTTCTAACTATGCATCTAGGTTTTTGTTTGTTTGCTTGTTTGTTTTAACCTCTGCATCTAAGTTGCCTGCCTAAATGGCCTTCAGTCATTGAAATCCATTCAATAAATATTTACTGAGCATCATCTGTATTTCAAATATTGTAGTGGGCATTGGGGGTATGAAATTGCAAAAGAGAGAATCATCAGTATCTGGGAAACACTGCTTGAAGAGATAGAAAGCCAAACAGATAAATGAGAATTATTCTAAGTGCCATAATGGGTCGATGCACTGTCTTTGGAGATTGGATGGACAGGGTAGCAAAAGATTGAGGGGCTAATTTTGCTACTGTTTATCTAAGCATGTCAGGGTCCTGTCTTTTTACATAGATTATGAGTGTCTTGGCATGTCTTTTGTCTCTCTGCATCCCCCGAGGCTCCTTGCACAGTCCTCACACTCCACTGGCATTCTGTTAATATTTGTTGATGATGATACTGGTGATTTTTTCTCTCTGACATCCAGAACACTGGAGAGATTTTCTGTTGGCCCTTGGATATAATAGATTTTTATTTATACATTTGAGTTAGCCTTTCAGAAATCATTCTTAAGTAAAATAAATATCTTTTTAGTAAGATAGTTTCTAAATACGAACTTACTTAAAACTGTAATGATATTCTATTTTAGCCAGCTAGTACTCAACTACGATTTGCAATTTAGAGAGTTGTGCTTGTACAGATTGTCCTTTTCCGAAGTCAATGAATTGTAACTTTAAATAAGGGCTGTTAACACACCAAAATAGTTTTTAATCAGCCTCAAAAATCCCCATTATTTCCAAGTATCTTATTTTTACTATTTCATTGATGTTTCAAGTGGAATCAAATATTCCAACTGTTTTCCACTGGAAGAAGATGAATTTCAGGTACAGTTCAGTAGCAAAGAACACCCATGTTTTCAAAATAATGGAGAAATTTTTTTTTCTCATAGGGAAGTTATGATTAAATTTGTGAATTGCACAAGCTTGGAATTCTGCTGCAGGATGCCTGCATTCTGTATTGCTTTATTTTGGTCTTATATTACAAATGGAATATTTCCCAGCTCATTTATATACAGTTCCTGGTTGCTGAAATTTTGCTGGCAAGCTTTGTGAACAAATTTTACTTCTGAAAGATACTAGGAATAAAGTGAAAATAGGGTCTTTTCTCTCATAGGTCTAAAAGATATTTCTTTCCTTTAATCATTACATTCTGGAGGTGTAATTGATCCAAACCTGCTGTAGATAGGATCTCATTATAAAGATCGTAGGTAAATAGACTTTCTAGCAGAAATGATCTTTTTTGGTTCAGTCTTGCAGCATTTCCTAAAATTGCTAGTGTACCTAGTAAATCGGGAGGTAAGTGAGGAAATTCCCTAAAAATGCCAGTGTACAGAGTGAATTTTAGGCAAATGAGAAAATCAGGCTTGATTTGCCAACCACCCATGTGCACATACAAACAAACACATACTCACACCAAAGCCAGGAACCCTGCAACAAAGTTCTATTTACCCTGAGGAGATATAAAAATTTATGACTGCTACTAAATTATTTTCTTGAAAAATAATACAGAAATTTGTAAGCAGACACAACAGCTCTAGTTTATCCACCAAATAACAATATAAATGGGACAAGCAATGAGAAACTGTAATTTAAAGATTTTTGAGTGTGATACTTATAAAAGTGTGTGTGTTTGTGTGTGTAGCGATCTATTGAATTTGAGAGTAATTTATGGAAAGTGCTGCCAGCATGGTATTTCAAATGCTTCACAATTTGAATTTAAACTAGTCAATGGGATCATTAAGATTATTATGCATGTTTTCCAAAGAGTTTGAATTCAAATGACAACTTAAAAGAAAAATAAAAAAAAGATGCCCTTTAAAAACTAAGGAATGTTAGTGTACTTATAGAAATTCTTGCAGTTTGGAGTAATTTGCCACCTCCCCTTCTGAAAAAGTACCTGATGATAATGTGCTTGAGAGATAGGGGTGTTGCAGACATATTCCTTCGGTCAGTAAAACCGAACTGTAGAGTGGATGTTGTGGACCATGGATTATTTCATGTAGTACAATTGACAGTAGAAAATCAGGAAGGGACGTGCATCAGTGCAGGGCTGACACACAGATCTGAGGATGGCAGAGGCTCACTGAACAGTACATACAAAGGCCCTTCAAACTCATCACACGTGCCATTTGGTTCCCTTTCTATGGGTCGGTCTTGGAATATGGAGGTCTGCTTTCATTTTGTGCCAAGTAACCGCGTGAGCAATTTACAAAAGATACAAACAGAAGGCTATTTACTCATTTTTCAAAAATACTTTTTTTTTTTTTTGCAATGGGGTTTGCAAAATGATTTTGCAATGGATGAACCATTTTTTTTTCTTTTTAAATAAGTGTAATTCTAATGATGGGAAATTTACTAGCTCTCAAGGCAGCTTTTCCTTGTGTTGAAATCTCTAAAGGTTAAAAAGTTACTTTTTGGACAGAAGTCTATTTCCTTACAACATGTTTTCATTGGTCCATAGAGAAGACAGCTGATACATCTTCCACTTGGCAGCCTTTTAAGTATTTGAAGAAAATTCTCAAGTCCATCTGAATCTTCTGTGTTGGCTAACTTCTAGTTCCTTCTTCCATTTCCAACCCAAATTTCAGCCTAATGAACAGATTTCTTCTTTCTTATTAAATATATGTGTGTGTGTGTGTGTGTGTGTGTGTGTGTGTGTGTGTGTGTGTGTGTGTGTATATGAGGAAATGAAGGCACAGAGGGCTTAAGGGAGTTACCCAGGAACACAGAGCTGGTCAGATGACTGGAATGTAAGGCTGTGTGGCTCTAAACCTTGTCATTTAGACTAGAGCACCTATACGTCAGTTAGCTTCCTGCCACTTCTTGTTTTCTGCCTGGATAGGACTTACTTATAAATAGTTTGGAAGAAGGGAGAGTTCTGACAAGATACAGAAATCAGAACTTCCCCTTCTTCCAAACTATATACAAATAATCGGTTAATCAGATTAAAGGACTCTTAGTAACACTGAAATCAAACCTTTGTGTTTCCAGGAGCTCTGAGAACAGCAATTTTTTGGAGCATTGTAATCTCTTGAGTATCCAAAATGATTCTATAATGATGTCTGTGAGGTCAGAATTGAAGCAGCAAATGGAATTCCTTTAAGGCTTCCCATCAATGGGCAGCTGATTCCAGTAACGGAGGCGGCACACGTTGTATCCAAATTCATAAGCACAAGTGGGAGAAACGAGGCTTCGGTAAAGAGGGTGACGTTCCCAAAGGAATCATCTGTGGAGTTGGGGAAGGAACTCAAGCTCAGGGCTCCTGTTCTCTACCAGGTTCTCCAGCCAGCTGGACATGCTCCCCAGGTTTATACTCAGTCTGGAATGTTAGTAAAAGTCCACTTCCTCTCCTTGTTTCTCCCTTCTAGTGAAAAAGTTCCTCCTTTCTACTTTCCTGACCTCAAGACCATTGCTCCAAACATCCCACCTCAGGATCCCGCCCCGCCATTCTCATTCTCATTACACTGTTTCTGGATCCATGTCTTTATCAGATGCAGCCCACTGTCCCTTTCAGAAGACGCCAGAAAATTTACATATGTGATCAAGTGTTCCCATCACAACAGCTCTTTCCAGTAATCCCAGTGCTGGGCAGCTGATTCCAGTAATGGAGGAGACACTTTCAGCTGTTAGGCAATGGATCACACTTTCACAGGAGATTGAGCAATCTCCTCATCAAGTTGTGCTAAGAGCACAAATCTGGTGCCAAAAGGCGCTACTGGATTCAGACTGACAGCACTGAGGGTTTGGGGTGAAAGGGAAGTCAGACTGGTGTTATGTGTGTTCACTGGGCAGAACTCACCAGGAGAAATAAAGAGGGTTTCCAGTTTATTCATTATGTAAAGCAGCTATAATAGTATTTATAGGGGTTTTGTGAATGTCAAATAAAATTATGTTTGGAACAGTGGCTAGTGCCATATGTGGGACTTAACCTTTAGTTAAAAGGAAGGTGGACACATGAGCGATCTCTAGCATTTTGTGACTGGAAGGAAAGAGACTGGATGACCACTCTTCAGAGATGCTATGGACAGTACTTTTGTCAAGGACTGGGAGTGGAGAAAATGATTTATACTGGTCTTTCCAGCATGAAGTTTGTATTGGTCCGTTTTCACACTGTGAGGAAGAAATACCTGATACTGGGTAATTTATAAAGAAAAGAGGTTTAATTGACTCACAGTTCCACATGGCTGGGGAAGCCTCAGGAAACTTACAATCATATTGGAAGGCACCTCTTCACAGGGTGGCAGGAGAGAGAATGAGAGACAAGCAAAAAGGGAAAAGCCCCTTATAAAACTATCACCCCCTGACTGGGCTCAGTCGCTCACACCTGTAATCCCAGTACTTTGGGAGGCCGAGGTGGGTGGATCATGAGGTCAGGAGATCGAGACCATCCTGGCTAACAGTGTGAAACCCCATCTCTACTGAAAAAAAAAAAAAATACAAAAAAATTAGCCGGGCGTGATGGCAGATGCCTGTAGTCCCAGCTACTCAGGAGGCTGAGGCAGGAGAATCGTTTGAACCCGGGAGGCAGAGGTTGCACTGAGCCGAGATCATGCCACTGCACTCCAGCCTGGGTGACAGAGCGAGACTCCGTCTAAAAAAAAAAAAAAACCTGTCACCCCTCATGATTCAATTACCTCCCACTGGGTCCCATCTACTTCACGTAGGAATTATGGGAACTACAATTCAAGATGAGATTGGGGTGGTAACACAGCCAAACCATATCACAGGTGAAACACAGAAAAAGGACATCTTTGTACATGGATCTTCCAATGTTCTTGTACCAAGGCCCACAGTATATCCTGTCTTCTTGAAAGAGTATCATCGTTATTCATTTGCCTTAGATGGAAATAATGTTGTAATACCAGTTAATACTTTTTTCAACTAAAGGGAATTAGACTTTATCTACAATCGCAAATTCACATCAGGAAATATCAAATCCAAAAATCAAAACTCAGTATCTCGTCACTTCTAGGACCATCCTTGCCACTTATCTCAGGCATCATGTACCTAGAAGCCGAAAAGCAATATACAGAACCTTTGAATTGAAGAGATATCAATTTGAACCCAGAGCCTGCTACTTCCTACATTGTGAAAGGGACCAAGGTTCTTTAATTCTCTAAAGCAAAGGTTTTTCATGTATAAAAGGAGGTTAGTAAAAGGGAGTACTTACCATGTTGAATTAACAGGAATATTAAATGAGTTTATGTGGTTTAAGTGTCTAGTGTAGCATCTGCCTCCTAATGTATGTTTAATAAATGCTAACTGTGACTATCGAGATTTACCCTGGAGATACCTGTCATGTCATGCCTTCTCTGTCAAATAGATCATGAATACAATTCCTAGCCTCTCTCTCCTGTTATACCCTCCTAGCAATATTCTGATCCAGCTGAACCCAGCCACGTGTCTTTTGCTTGCCAAAACAGCTGAATGCTGCTGGGAAAAAAAACACACAGCCAGGCATGATCATGTCATTGTAAGTTGTGACCAGCCTTGACCTGGGTCTTGACCCCACCCACAGCCTACATTCTTACACCCTGCTCTCAACTGTTTCAGACATTCTCTACTGTGACTTCTCTCTCCCATCTCTACTCTTTCCTTCTCAAGGGATGCCTGGCTTCATTCTTCATAGTGAAAAGGAAAGCTGCCGGAAGAAACTCTTTCAGCTTCTGCTCTCAAGTTTGTGCCCATCCTTTCTGTCCCTTAGTGCCCATCCGATCATCAAATGCCAGTTGGTCTCCATGTGTCTCTGGTCCCTTTTCCCCCTGTCTTCTGAGTGCCCTGACTCCATGGGTCATCCATTCTTTATCCTCCCCAGTTGGATTCTTCTCATCAACATCCATTTGTGCCCCAGCTTGGCCCATATTTTCCCTCCATTGACTCCACAGCTCCCTGTAGCTATTGCTTTATCCCTTCCTTCACAGCCAAACTCTGGAAAGTTGGATATTAGAAATGCTGCCTCCACACTATTCACAATAGCAAAATCATGGAATCAACCTAAATGCCCATCAGCAACAGACAAGATAAAGAAAATGTGGTACATAAAACCCATAGAATAGTAAGCAGCCATAAAAAAGAACGAGATCATGTATTTTGCAGGAACATGGATGGAGCTAGAGGCCATTATCCTTAGCAAAGTAATGCAGGAATAGAAAAACTAATGCTGCTTGTTCTCATTTATAAGTGAGAGCTAAATGATGAGAACACGTGCACACAAATCAGGAAACAACAAACACTGGGGTCTACTTGAGGGTGAAGGGGGAGAGGAGGGAGAGAAATGAAGATAACTATTGGGTACTGGGCTTAATACCTGGGTGGTGAAATAATCCGTACAACAAACCCCCATGACATGAGTTTGCCTATGTAACAAACCTTCACATGTACCCCTGAACCTCAAATAAAAGTTTTTTTGTCAAAAAAGAAAAAAAAATCCTGCTTCCCTTTTCCTACCAAGCATTCTGCCTGCTACTGGGCCCCTATCCCTTCATAGACTAGCTGAGGACATCAGGGACTTCCATGTTGCCAAAACCATGAGTATACTCAGTGTTCCCCCGACTTGATATCTCAGTGAAGGGTAATCATTCATTCTTACAAAACTGTCCCTCCCAACTTCCTTGGCACCCCAGCCTCCCGATTTTTTTTTAATTTTTCAATAGATTATTGGGGGTACAGGTGGTGTTCGGTTACATGAGTAAGTTCTTAGTGGTGATTTGTGAGATTTTGGTGCACCCATCACTGCAGTATACACTGCACCCTATTTGTAGTCTTGTATTCCTCATCACCCTTCCATGCTTCCCCCCAAATCCCCAAGGTCCATTGTATCATTCTTATGCCTTTGCATCCTCATAGTTTAGCTCCCACATATCAGTGAGAAAATATGATGTTTGGTTTTCCATTCCTGAGTTACTTCACTTAGAATAATAGTTTCCAGTTTCATCCAGGTTGCTATGAATGCCATTAGTTCATTCCTCTTTATGGCTGAATAGTATTCCATCTCATATATATACGTGTGTGTGTATGTGTATGTATATATGTGTGTGTGTATATATGTATATATATGTGTGTGTGTATGTGTGTGTGTATATATACAGTTTCTTTATCCACTCTTTGATTGATGGGCATTTGGGTTGGTTCCATGATTTTGCAACTGGGAATTGTGCTGCTATAAACATGCCTGTGCAAGTATCTTTTTCGCATAACGACTTATTTTCCTCTGGGTAGATACCCAGTAGTGGGATTGCTGGATTAAATGGTAGTTCTACTTTTAGTTCTTTAAGGAATCTCCACATTGTTTCTATAGGACCAGCCTCCTGATTTTCTGTTTACCTTCGTCTCAGTTACCTTTGCTGTTTTGTACTCTCCCTAACTCCTAAGTTGTCCAGTTTCTCTGGGATCATTTTCTTTCTCAATTTTCTCTTTAGTCACCCTCATATCCTCCCAAGCTTTTAGATACCATCAGTGTACTGACATGTCTCAAATAGGTACCATGATGGTTTTGTTACTACTTTTTATCTTAGCCATTCTGATAGGCGTGTAGTAATTATCTCATTACAGTTTTGGCTTGCTTTTCTCAAAGGGCTAATGATATGAAACATCAGTGCAGGCTGGGCCGGGTGGGTCACTTTGGGTCAGGAGTTCGAAACCAGCGTGGCCAACATGCTGAAACCCTGTCTCTACTAAAAATACAAAAGAATTACCTGGGCATGGCGGCAGGTGCCTATAATCCCAACTACTTGGGAGGCTGAGGCAGAAGAATTGTTTGAACCCGGGAGGCAGAGGTTGCAGTGACCCAAGATAACGCCACTGCACTCCAGCCTGGGCCACAGAGTGAGACTCCATCTCAAAAAAAATAAACGAAAAACGAAAAAACGTCAGTGCAGAAGAGGATGTGGAGAGACTGCATCAATTATATTTTGCTGATGAGAATGTAAGATGGAATAACCATTCCAGAGAAAGTGTTGGGAATTTCTTCTTTTAAAAGGAATCCTGCAACTACCATGTGACCCAGCTGTGGCACTCCTGGGCATTTATCCCAGGGAAATGAAGACTTGTGTTTACTCAAATATTTGTTCATAGCAGCTATATTTGTAAGATTCCCAACCTGGAAGCAACCCAGATGTCTTTCAACAGGTGAGTAGTTAAACTGTGGTACATTCTTACCCTGGGATACGATTTAGCAATAAAAGGAAGGAGTTGTTGCTACATGCAACACCTTGGGTGACTCTCAAAAGAATTATACTGAGTGGGAAAGGCAAAAGGCTGCATACTGTATGATTCCATAAATAACATTCTTGAAACAACACTGTATAAATGGAGAAGAGATTAGTGTTTGTCAGGAGTTAGGGATGGGAGGCGAGAAGTCAGGGATTAGGAATTGGGGGTATGGAGTAGCTATGGTTATAAAAGGACAGTAGAAGGGATCCTTGTGGTGATGGAACTGCTCTGTATCTTCGCCATGGTGGCAGATACATTAATCCATACAGGCAGTGCCATTACATAAATCAAATACACACATACCTGCATGCACTTACACATATATACAGGCAAGTGGAGAAATCTGAATAAGATTGATAGACTGTATCAATGTCATTTCCTGGCTGTAATATTGTACCATAGTTTTACAAGGTGTTATTGTTGGGGGAAACCGGATAAAGGATACATAGATCTCTACATTATTTCTTTCAACTTCACATGAATCTACAATTATAAGAAAATTTAAAGTTTAATTTATAGAAAAGGCATTTTTAGATTTAAAATAAAACTCCTAAATTAACTGAAAAAATTAATTAAATGTAAATTAAAAATCAAAATTACAAACTCTTTTACAACTTTAGATCTCTCTCTTACACACGCACACACACACACACACACACACACACACACACATGCACGCATCTAAGCATTATAGTCTTTGCTCTACCCACAGTTCAGCTCCCTGTAATTCAGTTTCTGTCCCCACCTCTCCACTTACACCACACTTCTGAATATCACTAGTGACCTCTTTGATGTTTAATACACTGAAGACTTTTCAGTCCTTATCATTCTCGAGCCCTTGCAGCATTTAAAGATGTTGACACTATCTTCTTTGTTTCATTTGACTTCTATAGCACCATACACTCTGGGTTTTCTTCCTTTCACTGTATACAGCTTTTCCGTATGTAGCTGGTGACTTTTTTACATGCCTTCCTTACAGATC